TGCATTGTTTCGGTGTGGCCTGCTTTTTCTTCTTGTTCTAGCTCCAGCGGTATGAGTAAGTTGATTGGTCTCTTAGTTATGTGTTTGTTGGGTAACTGGAGTTCGACTTGTCGTATTTCCTCGTTGTTTGATTGCAAAAGTTTTGTTATTCTTCCAATCCTCCTTGTATTCCTAGGAAGGATAGGGTCGTGGAGTAGTACTAGTTGCCCTTCTCTTGGCTGCTTCGGAGTGCCTCTGCCTTGGTCCAAGTAGTTCCGATGCTGCTCTCTCAAAGAGGTCAAATATGTGTCATTCCACAGCTTCCAGAAACATTCTGTGACTTCCATCGACGAACGTAGTGCTTCTTGCGCTTGTTTCCTAGTGCGAAGTTGAAGCGCTTCCCTTGGTGGCAAGAAATTGGGGTCTTCCGTGTCATTGTTATCGTTTACCATGGGATACGAGATGATGATTTGTTTCTGGATAAAGTCAATCGGACGTATGAAACTGATTTCCTCAGAATCTTCTTCCTGATACGTCAGAGGGCGGCCATTCAGGCACCCTTCGATTTCGGTGAGAATTGTCCTTAGTGAGTCTTCGTCGACAATTCTTCTCCCGAAAGCTCTTTTGAGTGATAACTTGATATCCTTGATGAGTCTCTCGTAAAACCCACCCTTCCAGAGGCGTAGGGGGTAATCTTTATCCATATGATGCCTGCATTGGTCATGAAATTGTTCAATTGCTCCTCTGGCTGTGTGTAATCATCGTCGTTGGTTAGGATTTTTTCTGCCAGGAGAAATGTGGGTGCATTGTCGCACGTAATTGAGTTCGGTACTCCTCTGCGTGACATGATCCTCCGCAATGCATTGATGAATGAGATTGTTGTGATGTCACTGATGAGTTCAATGTGTAGTAGGCGTGTTGTTGAGCAAGTGAAAATACATCCATACAGTTTCGTTTGAATTCCGTTCGTATTCCGGCTCCTCAATGGGTCGAATAGATCGAGTCCGATATCTTGGAATGGTCGTGAACGTACGGCTCGTATGCGAGGCAACTCGGCTAATAGTGGGTATCGATACGAAAGATTCTTTGTTTTCTGGCACTCTATGCATTTTCTTAGAATCTTCTTCACCTGTTGCCGGAGCTTCGGGATCCAGTATTTTTGGCGCACTTCCAGCATTGTGTGTGCGGTTGAGCGATGCAATTTCCCATGCGCTTCTCGGATTATCAGTTGAGCTAACGTGGTCTTAGGGAGAATGAAGATCGGGTTCTTCGCGTCTTCTGGTAGAAAGCTCTTGCCCAGCCGTACGTAACATCTCCCAATTCGTTTTCCGTCCTGGTGCATGATGAGCTTTTGTCGTAATGACAATGTTTTCTCGTTGATTTGGCTTTGATGTAGTTTGATGATCCAACCCCACGCGTTTTTGAGTGTACTCGACGTAATGAGGTTCGGATCGTTGTTTTCCTCACAGACAGCGATTGTTTCAGTGATTCTTCTTTTTGTTACCGACGGTAGGTGGAATGATGACTTTTGGATGAATTTGAGCATTCTTGGCCATAGTTCGTCTCAGCTTCATTGCTGAGCTAAATCGGGTCGAATCGATGATGACATTTTTTGGTGTAGAAGTTGCGATCTGGAGAACTTCCACTGTTTGTGGCGCGTGTTCGAAAAGCTTTGTTTCCGTTGGCCAGTTGTGTGCACCTTCGGACAGAAACGGCGGACCGATCCACCAAAAGTGGTTCATCAATTGTTCAGCGCTTAGTCTACGTGTAGCGCAGTCGGCTGGATTCCACTTCGTGTTTACATATCCGAAGTATACTTTAGTTCCGTCGGTTTGCAGTTTTTCCGCAATTCGTTTTATTTCTTTGACTATTTGCCACTAGCACTCCTGCAATTTAGGTTTCCCCCACAGATTTCAACCATCCGAGTGCTATTTCTGAGTCGGTGAGAATGTGGACGGCTTTGATTTTGGTTGTTTTTTTGATTTCTTCATAAGTGGATAACGTGAGTCGTGTCGCAATGGTCAGCGCGTTTATCTCGAGCTTTGGTATCGTGTGCGCTGTTTTGAGTGACGGTAACTTTGTCTTTGCTTGAATTAGCCAGTGTTTTTCATCTTTTTTGATGTACGTACAGGCTGCCATCATGTGTGTATTAGCATCGCTGAAGGTGATGAGTTCGTGTTGGTCCTCTTTGTTGGCCACTTTTCTGGGAATTTGCTTGTAGAGTCCCTTCATCGCTCGGAATAGTTTCTCCCAAGTCTTCCTGTGAAAGTGTGTCATCCCATTTGTACGATTTCGTCCATAGGGATTGGAAGAAATACTTGGCTCTAACCATCAATGGGGATATCCATCCCAGTGGATCATATACTGATGCTATGGTATGCAGAACTGTCCTTTCTGTGATCAGTTCCAGTGGCTGCATATTACATTTGGCGGCCAGTGTGTCAGTTGTAGTGTTCCAGTTGATTCCGAGAACTTTGACCGATGTCGATGTTTCTTTGTCTTTATCATCGAATTGCGCCCTTACGTCGGGATCGTTGGATGCGAATTCTCGTATGTTCATATTGAGTTCGTTGAAGATTTTCCTGGCTTCTCTATACTGATAAAGTGCTTCCTCCCTTGTTTCAGCCGTCAAGAGTAGATTGTCGACATACATATTGTCTTTGATGTTTGTTGCAATTTTAGTGTCGTATGTCGATGTTCACAAGTGGACTTTGATTGTTGCGGCGAGTAAGAAGGGTGAGGCGTTCGAGCCAAATGTCACTCTGGTGATCCTGTATGCGACGATGTTGTTCTCTACCAGCGGTCTCGATAGGTCCTTTATCCATAGGAAACGCGTTGCGTCTCGGTCTATTTCGTGTAGCCGTACTTGCAAAAACGCTTTTTCGATGTCAGCTGTCATTGCGATTCTTCCTATAGGAAAGCGTACGAGCATTCCACTGAGGTTCGGTAATATTAGCGGACCTTGGTGAAGAACTTCGTTGAGCGATGGTTTGCCAGTACAATGGGCTGATGCGTCAAAGACAATCCTTCTTGGAGTAGTTTTCTTTTGTGGTGTAATGACGACTTGATATGCAAAATAGTGTATAATAGCATCACGTGGTGTCATCCTTTTCATTTCCGGTGTGACTTCCTCTATGATGCCCTTTTGTAGTTGTTCTTCGAACGTCTTTTGAAATTTCTGGAGGAGTTGAGGTTGTTGGTTATACTGTTTGAATAGACTTTTCAGTCTTGCCATCGCTATGCTCTTATTATCGGGTAGACGAGGATGTTTATCCTTCCATGGTAATCGTACGTAGTAACCGTCATCTTTTTTGACTATTGTTTCTTTGAATCTTTTCATGACTTTTTCCTCGTCATTTTGTCTCTCCACTTTTTCCGGGCCGGTGTATTCATCAATTCCTGATGACTCCATACGCCAGTAGTTGTCCCACGTATCGACCTCCTCATGTAATTGTTGTACGTTACAGTCTCCTTCTGGTTTTTGAGTAGTTTGTCGCCCTGAGACCATGTGTCCGAACTTAGTGTCGATTACGTGCATTCCTGATGGTAGTTTGCATTCCTTGCCTTCCATCATTTCCCATAAGTGGTCGCATCCGAGTAAGATCTGTGCTTGACTTTGCTTACTGGTGATGATGACAGAGAGAAACCTCGTTGTTTAATGAATGTCATGTCCTCTTGAGTGAGTTCATGACAGCTCCTTGTAGTAGCAATCATTGGGCTGTCAAGTAGTTCGCATGTGTGCCTTTCTCCTTGTTTATCCACCAGGTTTACTATTACAATGCGATGTTGGCTCTCTTTGGCCGATTCTGTGCCGAATGTCTTCAGTCTCAGTGTGGTCTTTCCTTTAATGGGTAATTCCAGTTCGTCGACGAGTGTCGAATCGATGAATGAAAGCTCGCTCCCTGTGTCCATTAGTATGCGGACTTGTTTGGCACTGCTTGGCCCTTGTACTGTTGTAGTTCCTGTGAGAAGTAGGGCACCTGTCTTTTTGGTCTTCCTGCCACTGACATGGTATACCTGACTGTCTTCCTCCGGACTACTGTCTCTTTTTTCCCTCTCGGAAGTTATGACATTTTGGCTGACTTGGCGAGCTGTACCTTGTGTCCTGAGTCTACTCTGCCTCTGCGTACCACTTGACTGAGCTTGAGATCTTGGTAATGATGGATTCGTTGGCTGCGACACACTTTCCTGTGTGGGGGTAGATCTGCTTTGAGTTTGCTGATTGTAGCTACATAGTGAAGAATGGTGTTTCCTGCCACACTTGAAGCATCCTGGACTCCTGCAGTCTTCGGCCTTGTGGTTGGGTTTTCCACAGTTATGGCACATCTGTTTCCTCGTCAAGAATGCTGCGCGTTCTTGCAGCGGTACTGTCCTGCAATCTATAGAACGATGGTTGCTCCTTTTGCAGTAGATGCATGCTGCTGCAGAGCGGTTAAGTGATGTCCTATCTTTTACGAGTTGAGTGTTTCTCCTCATAGCTTCTTGAGATCTTTCAATCCTTTCTTTCGAATCGATGATCACCGAGAGGTGTTGGCGTAGTGTGGACCACGTCCACTGGTTGATGTCTTCAAGGTTTTCCCGCTTTTCGAGTGCTTTCGCTTGAATATCACCGTTGAATTTCCTCAAAACCATGTTTGAAATCAAGCGATGGTTGATATTCTGACCTTTTGTGGATAACTGCATCAATAACGCCGTAATACGTTCTAATAAATTGGCTTGTTGTCTTGTACTCGACCCATCGGCACGAATTTCTTTGAGTTGAGCAAGTAATTCTCCGACTATAAGGCTGTTGGAGCCATACTTCTTTTTCAGAAGATCGTTAACTATAAGGTAGTTTTCTTCGATAACTTCGAAATGTGCTGCCGTTTGTCGGGCTTCTCCAACTAGGGATTGAATTAAGTAATTGAATTTCATCATCTCACTTATGGGCTGATCGTCAATACTTGATTTGAATGTAGCCCAAATTTTCCACTGAATCTTTGCAATTGTAGACGCGGTAGGAACGTTTGTGCTTGCGCTGGTAATGATGATATAGTCGAACCTTGCCTCGACTCTCTTGACAATACGGCTTGTGTGTCGTTGGCTCCGTTGAGTTGAATTCTTCTGCTAGTTGCTCGTTGGAAGCTTTCCAGAGTATTGCTGATCTCCACTTCCTCTTCCTTCATTTTTGCAATCGTTGTTTCTGCTGACGTGATCGATTCCCATGCTGCTTCTGTATAGCTTCCATAGGCTTCTTCCTCGCGCGTTTGTTGCTCCTGTTCCATACTATTAAATGCGTCGTGGAACTTCGTCACTGCGCCCTACAGAGACATCTTAGCTTCTTCTATATTTTGTAGTCGTTGATGGAGCGTCCCCTTCTTTGCCGTTAGATGAGCAACTGTTTCTTCGTCGTTATCGAGCATCGATGGAGTATAGGTCGTCCAATGTTGAGAGTCTCGCAAAAGTTCGTCAAGTGATTTCCTGTAGTTCCTGACCCTGGTTACTAGAAGTAGAACCGTTACAACGGCTGGCACAGTGATA